ATCTATCTATCTATCTATCTATCTATCTATCTATCTATCTATCTATCATCTATGTTGATCTTTAGAACTTCTTCATCACAGCTAGATTTAAAAAGCAAATCTTTGTCAAAATTCCTCTTTTTGTATCAGGGAAGCTGAGATGCTGCTGGAAAACGAAGAGTTTGGCTGCTTCCTCATCAGGCTGAATGAAAAAGCTTTTGGCTACATCCTTTCCTACCGGTAAGTCGCGGCATTTTTGGCTTCTCCCAGGGTGAGAAAAGCCAACATTCGTGGGTGCGAATCTCCCTGTTCCCGAATCCCTGTTGGGTCTGGTCTCTTTCTTCACATCCCAGGGCTCCGGCGACTCTGAATTCAATTCTTGAAAGGCTGTGGAGATGGACTGTTGGGCTTTCTCCAGGTCAGTCGTTCCGCCTTTGGCTCTTTGGCAAAGAATGCAAGCAAGGGTCTCAGCCAGGTGGACCTGAGGTTAAATGTGTTGAAGAAAGTAACCTGGGCTAGGCAGATTCCAGGTGATCTTTTCTAGACTGGAAGCAACAAAACTGCATGGGAATGAGGGTTTGTCTAATGGGCTGCAGGCAGGAAAGGAAAGGAGAGGAGAGGAGAGGAGAGGAGAGGAGAGGAAAGGAAAGGAAAGGAAAGGAAAGGAAAGGAAAGGAAAGGAAAGAGATTAGGGACTGATAGACAAATAAAATATTATGAGAGAGATCAAACTGCTAGTACAACTGAACAGAACCTATGATTCAAAGCAATATTTATAATAAAATACAGTATATTCCCAGTAGGAAACGTCTATTTCTGGCATCACTACATCTCTATAAGCCACAGGTTGGTGCCAAATCTAGCTTAGCGTAGCGAAAGTCAGCTTGTTTGTGTCATACTTCAGGGCAAAACCATGCAATGGCCTGAGGCTTTAAACTGTCCAGTTCAGGGGCTGAATTTGCAGGTGTGAGTTCAGGATAGCTGGGAGGGAGAGGAAAGGCAGGAGGAAGAGCCACTGGGCTGTTCTTTCTCTCTCCCTCCCCAAATATCTCCCCCCCTGAGACATCCATCCCATTCTCCTTCCTGGTCGGGCCAAATGGGGCTGGACTTGGCACCTGGGCAGGCAGGTGAGAGGCAAATGAAAGGCGGAACCTAGATAGCCCAGGTAAGAATGATAGCACCAACTGGGTGATTTGGAATCAGCTGGAAATTCAACTTGGCTTTCTTGGGAAGTCTACCTGACTTTGGTTTTTTCCCTTTGGGGGTTGGGGAGTCAAGAAGAGAACCAGGACAAGCTGCGTGTTGCCCACGGCGCCTGCTCAGGATCCCATGGCCTGCTTTTTGACTTGCAGAGGGAAAGATCGCTGCCGTCATTTTGTCATCAGCTGCCACCGCAGCGGGCAGTACGTTGTATCCGGAGACTCTCGGACGCACGCGCATTTGACTGAACTCATCAGCTACTACCAGAGGTCTGAAATCCAGCCTTTTGGAGAAAACCTCACCTCGGCCTGTCCCAAGGTGGGTTGGGCTGCTGAACCATATTGTAGCCTCTCCAACCCAATTAGGCGAACGTAAATGCTCATCCTGTGGTTTTGTTGCCTTGAAGAGCCTTGGTGGCACAGTGGTCAGAGTGCAGTACTGCAGGCGATTTCTGCTGGCTGACGGCAATTTGGCAGTTCGATTCTCACCAGGCTCCAGGTGGACTCGGCCTTCCGGCCTTCCGAGGAGGGTAAAATGAGGACCCAGACTGTTGGGGGCAAGAGGCTCACTCTGGAAACCGCTAACGGAGAGCTGTAAAAGCACTATGGAGTGGTGTAGAAGTCTAAGTGCTATTGCTATCTTCCTTCCTTCCTTCCTTCCTTCCTTCCTTCCTTCCTTCCTTCCTTCCTTCCTTCCTTGTGGTTAGAATGCAGTATGGCAGGCTAACTCACTGCCCACTGCCAGCAGTTCGATCCTGACTGGCTCAAGGTTGACTCAGCCTTCTGTCCTTCCAAGGTTGGTAAAATGAGGACCCAGATTGTTGGGGGCAAGAGGCTGACTCTGCAAACCACTTAGAGAGGGCTGGAAATCCCTATGAAATGGTATATAAGTCTAAGTATCATTGCTAGTGCTATTTAGCTAAGTGTCTGTGTCTTACCACCCAGTTGCAATCGGTAGAAGACTGTCGTTTGAGGCTTCCTAAGACAGCCAGAGATATCCTTCTTCATCCAAGAATTTCATTTTAGCGTCATGGGGTACAGTGGTACCTCAACACTTATTTTTAATTGGTTCTGGGAGACGTGATGAGCACCAAGCAATTTTTCCCATAAGGAGTAACATAGTGAGTCACAAGGCAGCCAACACAAGTTCTGTCTTGCGTGTTGAGTACCATACAAGCAATGAGTACCGGGACAAAATGTTCATGCCAAAAATGCATTGAATACCAAATTTGACGAGTTTCAAAGAAGTCGAGAACCAAAGTTCCATTTTAGTTTTCTCAGAGCTAAAATTCATACTTTTGAATTACTATTGATGTACTGTAGCTGTGGTTTTCGAGACCTTTCTTTTAAAAGTTTAGGATGGTATTTTGGGTCCATGGTCTCTGGGCTTCCCAAAGAATTTTCTATAATTCTAAATTAACGGTAATGGTCTAGCATGCTATATCTTCCTCCATGTTCTTCCATTTTCATAGCTGGAGGAGAAAAGCACATATGATGAAATATCTTCAGACAGAAGTCCCAGTGCAGATGCTCCAACGCTGAGCAGGAACCCATCAGCCGATTTGCTGGTTACCCGGAGTCATTTCACCAATCAGCCAGGACATCCAAGGATTCCACTTCAGGAAGAGCAGAAAGAACATCAAAATTCAAAGGTAGGTTTTGGAGAGTGATCTAAACCAGCTTCCTTCAACCCCATGTCCTTCAAAGTGGTGAGATCCCTGCTTTGTACACATGGAAACTGAAAGTTAGAAGGATCCGAGATCTGGATCCTAAATCTTCTTGGGCAGCTCAGTTTTGTATCATAGTTATCCTCACTATGTAACTCCTGGTGAGATCTTCAGAAGAAGCAGAGTTCTGTGGTGGCATTGATGGTTCAATGGTGGCATTTACTGTTGCAAGACGCAACGTTTTGGGGCACTGATTTAAAATATCCTCAGCCTACTTACTCCCCAGGAGCAATAGCAATTCATGGGTTGGTCTCATCTCAACAATATGGCAGCGTTGAGGAGGCTGCCAAGGGTTGGAGGAAACCATCTTCCGAAGAGGGAGGAATTGGTAACAATTAATGTTGACATCCCAGATGTTCCTCCTTGTTTGAGGAGCTTTCAAGACAGGTTGCTCGAACTCAGCAACGGGGAAAGTTTATATTCTAGAATAGAATGACAGAGTTGGAAGGGTCCTTGGAGGTCTTCTAGTCCAACCCCCTGCCTAGGCAGGAAACCCTACACCGCTTCAGACAAATGTTATCCAATATCTTTTTAAAAACTTCCAGTGTTGGAGCATTTATGACTTCTGGAGGCAAGTTGTTCCACTGATTAATTGTTCTAACTGTCAGGAAATTTCTCCTTAGTTCTAAGTTGCTTCTCACCCTGATCCGTTTCCATTTGTTGCTTCTTGTCCTACCCTTAAGTGCTTTGGAGAATAGCTTGACTCCCTCTTCTCTGGGGCAGCCCCTGAGATATTGGAAGACTGCTATCATGTCTCCCCTAGTCCTTCTTTTCATTAAACTAGACAAACCCAGTTTCTGCCACCGTTCTTCATATGTTCTAGCCTCCGGTCCCCTAATCATCTTGGTTGCTCTTCTCTGCCATCTTTCTGTTTCTTATCTTCTTTGCTCGCCTATCGTGGCAAGCAAGAGTCCACAGTCAGAAGGTACCTCTTGAGAAGTTCATCCAAAAAGGAGACGTTCTCCTCTGCAAACTGTCTATTTCCTTCCTTGCCTTTAATCAAACACAGGAGGATCCAGACGAAGCGCCACCTATACCAGACAGGTCCCTCTTGCTGGAGTCACTGTCCTTGGAGGAAGAGATGGGAGAGGAAGGAACCATTTATTCAGCCGTGAAGAAGCCTCCTTTAGATAAACGGAGCTTGGAGAAGTCAAAAGAGAGGGACAGAAATTTGGGGGGCCCTCAAGCAAAGGAACCTGTAGGGCCAGGCCAAGGTGTTTTCTTGCCTTGCCAAAGGAAGACAGGGACCATGTTTGGATTGGCCAAGCGATCAGACACACCATTCACCATAAAAGTGAATCCTGCAGAGAGATCTCAAACGATCACCATTTATCCCAGGATTGCCTTGGACCAACCCCAAAACTTTTGGATACCCGCTGAGCCCCCCAGTTACCAGTCCACCTTTCCATCGTCCAATAAACCAACCGTTCCTAATGACCCGCCTTCCAAATTATCTCCTACGCTGCCGAATAAATCCAAAGACTCAACGGCGTTCCACAACTCTCCTCTTGGGATCAAGGCGAGGTCGGTGGGCAACAAGGAACACGGCCAACTAAACCAACCCAAATCCTTGTTTGAACTCCCCAAGGAACGCATGGATGAGGAGAAGATCTTTCAGCTGAAAAACCAACCGTCTGCCTTACGGGTGGACCATACAACGAATACTCAGGAATCGTTCAGGTGGGCAAAAGGTATCTTCCATGGCTCGGAAAAGCCTCCCAAGGCTTCCTTGACCACGTCCAAAGGGACTTTCGATCAAATCTCCGCAAAGTTTGGTCATGTCTCCAAGATTCAGATCAACCCTGAGAGCCCATATGAAAAAATAACTGGTCCTTACTCTCAACGTTCCTCGGCTACAAGTCAAGCTGCATCTCTGGAGAATCCCTATGAGCAAATCCCCTACCTGCCGGGGAAAAGAATAGAAGGAAAAGTCACCCAAAAGGTACTGTCACCTTTAGTATTCACCCCACGTTAATCGGCAGGGTTTCAAAGGTGGTACGTAATAGAATAGAATAAGAGTTGGAAGGGACTTTGGAGGTCTTTTAGTCCAACCCCCTGCCTAGCCAGGAAACCCCACACCACTTCAGACAAATGGTTGTACAATCTCTCCTTAAAAACCTCCAGTGTTGGAGCATTTATAACTTCTGGTGGCAAACTGTTCCACGGATTAAATGTTCGAACAGTCAGGTAATGTCTCCTTAGTTCTAGGTTGCTTCTCTCCTTGATTAGTTTCCATCTGTTGCTTCTTTGTCCTGACGATGAGTCTTTGGTTTCAGAGAAGTCAGTGAGCAAAGCAGGGGATGGCAGGTCAATTCAAAGAAAGGGTTATCTAGGTTTAATATCCAAAATCCAGGGAGGGGAGGGGAGGATGTCGTGGAGGAAGGAAGAAAAGAAAGAAGGAAAGAAAGAGGAAAGAAGGAAGGAAGGAGAGGGAGAGA